TACCCAATCTGCAACGGAGGTACATACGACGATGGATTGTCGTGCGCACTGACATTATGGGCTCGGCCTGCCTGCAGGACGAAGCAAGGCTTCTCTCCGCTATCTACTCTTTCTTTGTTATCCCTGGTCTCTGATCTGATGGCAGGGAGCAAGTGGTTCTTGTTCCGGTTGAGTCGATTGAAGACTAACGGATATCTAGACCAGTCCAGAGATCCACGTCCAATGTCTCCTCCTGTAAACCCGGAACACCCGTTCACATGCTCCCCCCCCCCCCGGAGAGATACTTCCGGGAGGCTGATCAGCCCACCTAGGTGTGACAGTCCTGCTCGGCGTGCCTGATGGCTGTGTCAATCACATGGCTGTCAACATTTTGACTTGCCCAGCGGGCAGGCAAGCCAGCCGGCATGTTGGGCATTGGGCCTGGCAGGTAGGGCGCTCGGATATACGGTACTATGGACATTACCCTTGCAGCACCGCGACGCACGATGGGCTTTTTGTAAGCATTGATGCGGATCGTCGTGGCTTCCTGCCTAGCTCCTACGCCCCTCCCTACCAGGCACGGGATCTCCGCACTATATCGGAGTCCCCGTTGTTGTTGGTCGCAATCCCGATCGCATATCTGCATGTCTACGGAGTACCATGCAGTCGTTGGGCTATTAGCACAGTAGCACCTAAGCTAGCTGCGCGGGCTAACGAGATATACTGACTATCGATCGGTATAATCGAAGCAAAACCGGTTTTAGTTTCCAAACTGCCGGAATATATTCCCACCACTGCACTACTGCTTCATGTCATGTGCGCAGTACAAATTCTTCGAGTAGGCTGGAAGTGGAGCAGATACACGCATGCACGGATTCTCATCACGGCTCAGAGCTCTACATTCTAAGCAATGCATGACGGCTCAGAATGCATATGTTACGTCACTACAGGCAAGGCCTCGGGAATCTATCGTGGGAGAAACAAGTCAGGTCGTGTTGAATATCTGCAACACGCATACGAGGATCAAAAACGGATGGATGATCTCAAGTCGGGATTCGGTGGCTATTGCTCCCGTAGGGGCAGTCAATGAACCATCGGGATTCATGAATTGGGCATCTCGGTCGTGTCCATGTCTCAGACATCTTGACCGCCTGTTATAGGGCTCAGCTTATGGTGAGCACCACAGAGTGGCGAGGCCATAATCACGCTCTTCCGAGCTGCCCTCTCCGTTTGCCTGGTATGGTTCGCCGTACGCAGCCCGTACTTTTGAAAGCATTGCATTCTTTCTTCATGGCTGACCGAAAGGCTGCTGGAAGCCGAGCACAGGGCAGTCGTAGGATGAAGTGTCCTTCTCGGCGCTGGCCTCTGACCCTGAAGAGCCTGAACAACGAACGCCCCTTGTTCTTTTCCCCTCGGATATGGTCAGCATGCTCTGTCTAGATTGGAAAGAGACCATCCTGAATGCCACGTCAAGCTCTAGGCACGGAGCCGACTATACGGGATCTTGGAAGACATACGAGCCATGAGAGATGAGCTTTGGAGTCTATGGTTGCGCGTGTTGTAAGAAAGGTAAGCTCGAAGACTTACGGGGAAGAAGCGATGTTGTCCTTGTCGTGACTCTCTACCGACTTGAGATACTACTCGATATTTGATCAGTATTGTATCGATCAACGTAGACCTCCTTGTTTCAAGGGGCTTTTTTTCATATCGGTAGGCGCCTCGACCAACTGAATATCATGTACGCCGTTCAATCACGCTTCAGCCATGACTAGAGGAGTTCTGTGGCTGCAATATTGGCCTCGCAAAGAAATTAGCTTAAGGAAGTAACTGTCTATTCATGATCACAGCCTCTAGATTGGCATCTCCGGCCGCAAGTTCTTTTCTCCATCTTAACAAGATGGGCTATGGGCTAAGGAGATATGGGCCGCAGCCATTCAACTCAGGAGCCCACCCAGAATGTATGCGCTGATAACCGATCATGCTAGCATATATACTTTCGTTATACCGACAGCGGGCATTGCGTCTGCGAGTGATCATCCCTGCTTTGAGTTGTATCTGAATCTAAATCGCAAACTCTCGGCTCCTTGCTACCAATAGTGGGAATTGTAATGACCGGCATTTAAAGCTTTGTGGAGCAGACTTCACCCAGTGTGCTTTCACGTCATGTCTGAGTGGGCATGACTCCAACCATTGATCGGTTGAAGTAGGCTGTCGTCTCTCTTCCTTGGTGTTTAGGCTGGGTCGGAGGATGTATGTATGTGTTCGCTGCGAACTGTCAATTCTCACCCACTTTCTGCTTGATAGACGAGGATGTGGTGTTTGGCTTCGTTACTTGGTCCCCTGGAATGTGCACTGGGGTTATTTGGAATACCCATTGTAATAGAAAATGATCAATTCTTCGCAGTCTTACCCCAACCCGGCTGCAGTATATGTTGTTGCGGGTTGATCATCTTGAGCTCTTCCAAAGTGCTGTATGCAAGAAGAAACCACACTCAGTAAGAGCTCCTGAATCGACTGTTACTGTGTCTGACACCAACAGCCTGAGATTCTGACGAGGACAAATAGAATCCTGGTCATCCATCGCCAGAATAACTTCGATATATACAGTACAATCACATGACCGCGGACTAACTTTTCGCCGCTGCCATTTTCTCCCATCACGGGTGTCCATCAGCATGTATACACTCTCCTCCATCTCCTCTACCAGCTCATTTCGAGCCTCGTCCCCTTTTGTACCACTCGGCCATCCCAAGTCGGTGGGCTGCCGCTTCGTGGATGGCAATTGGTTCTCAGATCACACTTATCTCCGTCTAAGCCGAGACCTCACGTGCGTGGGAGTCTACCGGGAGTCGGATAATCTGGCCGCTTGTGAAGGTCAATATACAATTACATCACGTTATTCAAACAGCTGCGACTCTGAACACTTCCATCCACGGGATTTGCATATTGTACTGCATTGCGTCTCCACGGCACGGTTATATGACTGGGTTTTTCTTGAAAGTGACATCTATATGACTGCTCTCGTTTCGTGCTAGCATTTCTGTCTGGAACGCACTTGTCGCATTTATTCACCATTCGTGCATTCTGCGCCAAGACCTATCATACCGTAATCGCATCATGGCAGTCCTCATGGCTTTGCAGGGATCTATACGGGCCTCTGGGCAACTCCCCCGCTTGCCTTGTGTGCTCCGATTCCCATCCCTCGGACATGGCTCCGTGCCCAGGAGAGGATTGCAGCCGCTGCAAGTAACCGGAGCGCGCAGCTTCTCGGTCCTTACGCCAGGCTGTCGCTTGCGCTCGCAGTTGATTCAGGCAAGGTGCGATGTTGTTTCCTATTTCGGCCGGAAGCCGAGTTCTAAACCTATGTCTAGCTTACGGGGGAAGAGAAGTAGTAGTCTCTGCACAAAGGAGTCATCGCAAGGGGCACGGATCACTGTCCAGCAGAGAAGATGGTCGGCGCAGAAGTCGACCGACTCGAACGATACGCAAAAGTAGGTTTCTCTCTTGGCTTAATTCTCCCCATTCTATGGGGACCGAAGGGAATCCCTATGATACCGATGACACGTGCCTCGTCGAATCCTGACATGAACGCAGCACTGAGCCCAAGTCCAAAACTGCGGCTATTCTGTCAAAGATCCCTAGACCCACCACCCACGAGAACATCTACACTGTTCCCAACATCCTCACTCTCACCCGCTTAGTTGCGGCTCCTTTGGTAGGGTACTTCCTCGTGCAAGGCCACCACACGGCCGCATTGGGTCTTTTCGCATATGCCGGCATCACGGATCTTGTGGATGGCTGGATTGCACGCCGATGGAACCTGCAGACGGTCGTCGGGACGATCATCGACCCCATGGCTGACAAGCTACTGATGACTATCGGTGTTGCTTGCTTGGCTGTCAATGGATCGATTCCTGGTAAGGCATCATGTGCAGTTGACGATTCACGATAGTCGGTTGGGAGGCAGGAAAGCTGACATGTTTCCGACAGTCTGGCTCGCCGTCATTATCCTCGGCCGTGACGTCGGCCTGGCGCTCTCCGCTATTTACTATCGATGGATCTCTCTCCCCCCGCCCAAGACCATGGCCCGGTACTGGGACTTTTCTCTCCCGTCGGCCGAGGTCAAGCCCACGACAGTCTCCAAGGTCAACACTGCGTTGCAGCTTCTCCTCGTGGGGAGCGCAATCGGGATGCCCGTGCTTCCAGAGACAGTGATTGATGCGTGGCATCTAAAGGAAGCCATGACCGCATTTCAGTGAGTGCAGTTCCCTTTCCCTTGTGCTTTTTTTGTTGTTGGTTGTGTTTTTGTTGTGTGGGGCGGCATAACAGCGGCGGTTGGGGTGTGTTCAGCACATACGACCACAGGGTGTGGAAAATAGGGCTTCCCGTCCGCTCAGCCGTACTCAAGCCACACGCCGGGAGGTTAGTAGTTGGGTGGGTGACCACCAGCGAATCCCTTCTGTTGTATGTTTTTGGGTTACACTTTTTGCCCCCTCTTCTTGTGTCGACATCTCGTGTTAGCCTCTCGTGTTCGAATTCATTGTTCTCACGGGAAAGGTACATGCTGACCAGGACAGATACCTCGTTGCCGGAACCACGATCTGGTCCGGGCTCAGCTACGTGTTTTCCAAGGATGCCGTCAAGATCTTGACGAAGGAAGAGGTGCAGAAGCGCATTGCTCGAGCTGCCGGGAAGAAGTGATTGCGGAATATATAGTGAGTAGATGTATGTACATAGGTAGCATACTGTGATCGGAGCATCTATCTGAGCATACATTTCGTTTAGAATCTGCATGCACAGCAGACACCGCATGAACTCAGTATAAATTTATTCTTAGCAGTATACATAGTACTATCCTTATATACTCGTACGACTGCGTACCTAAGGATGATATCTACAGCTGATGTGCTCTGCTGATGTAATGGCGACATTCAGAAGCCGACGCAAGATTTTCCCACGGACCAATGGTGGGGCGGGGATTCAGCAGCAGGGCAGCAGTTCGGCGCATTTCCATCTGAACTTGGAACTTCGTCGTAGACTTCCCCGCCGGCAACTTACGTCTACCTACTCGATCAACTAACTCAACCTCCAAACCTCCTCATCTTCCGCTTCAGCTTCAGCTTCACCCTCATCTGCAGACCCCCTCCTTATATTCCCCAAACACCAAAATGAAGGCCTACTGGTACGACAACAAGCCGGTAAGCAAGCAGTATCCCCTGCCTCTCCAACCCCTCCCCCTCTTACCCCCCACCCAAAACCCCCCCAAGCCACCCTCCCAAAACTAACCCAAGGAAAAAAAAAAACAAAAAGGGCGACCAACGCCTCCCGCACGACAGCAACCGCCCGGTCACCGAATCCTACCTGGCCACCCTGGGGGTCATCTACCAGCACCTCCCCTCGCTCGCCGCCGTCGATGCCCTGGCCGCGGCCCGGGGCTACAAGAACCGGGACGAGATCACGGTGTCGCCGGCGACGATGGGCGACGCCTACGAGACCAAGGTCAAGAGTTTCTTTCATGAGCACCTGCACGAGGACGAGGAGATCCGGTACATCCGCGACGGCCGCGGGTACTTCGATGTGCGCGGGCAGGAGGACGAGTGGGTGCGCATCCAGCTCGAGAAGGATGATTTGATTATCTTGCCGGCCGGCATTTATCATCGGTTTACGACGGATGAGGGCGATGTATGTATCCCCTCTCTCTCTTTTTTTTTTTTTTTTTTTTTTTTTTTTTTTTTTTTTCCCTTCCCGGGGGGCTTTTGGGGCTGAGGGCTGGGCTGAGGAAACGGATCGGCTAACGTGGCTTGTGACTACAGTATATCAAGGCGATGCGGTTGTTTCAGGAGGAACCGAAGTGGACGCCGTTGAATCGCAGTGAGGAGTTGGATGAGAATCCGCATCGGGTTGGGTATTTGGGTTCCTTGGGGAAGGCTGCTGTTGCTGCTGTTTGAAGTTCTTTGATTCCGGGTAAGATGGATGGGCTGGGATCGGGTAATGGGTGGAGACTAGGAGGAGGAGGAGGAGGAGGTGTGGGAAGGGATGTATATAACTAGGCACATGAAATTATGACACCCAAGTTGATTCTTATTCTTTTTTTTTATCATTGTTGAAAAGTCGTATCACTCGCTAGATGCGATCGTTTCTTATGCGCCTAAAGCCGACCGTCAATGCAGAGTCAACCCCATACTATTGCCCCCCCAATGACCCTGGCATATGCAAATCACTCAACCCCCCCGAACTCTCCTCCCGCATCATACTCGCCGGTCGCAGGTCCCCCGTCTCCACGTTGTAGCTGGAAGTCCGCGACACGCTGTCGAACTGCGGCCTCGACGCCAGTCCACCCCGGAACCGTAGTCCCTCCGTCTCATGCGCACTCAGATGATCCGACATGGCGCCGCCGCCGCCGCCGCCGCCGCCGCCCCCTCCGCGGGACGCGCCGTTCGACGCCGTCTCGGCCTCCTCGCCGGTCCGGACCCCCGTTCGGCCCATGCGCGGCCACAGATCCGGCAGCCCCACCACCTGCACCCGGGGCTCGACCACGCGCTCCTCGAACCACGCATGCACCCGGGCTTCGACCAGCTGCGCGACCTTGGGGACATCCTGGAGACGACTCCGGGAGCCGATCAGCGACCGCACCGACAGATCGAGGCGGTAGTCCGGGAGGAAGGAGAAAGCCACGTTGCTCTTCGGGGTGCCGGTCTTCGGGAGCGCCGACGCATCGGCTCCCTCCTCCACGGCGACGGAGGGCGGTTGAGCCCCGTCTCCGGGGGCGTTCTTGGTCCCATCGGCCGTGGGCGGCGACGGGGACGGGGACGGACTATGGAGAGGTTCCGTGGAGGCGGGGACCAGCGAGATGCACAGGGTGCCCGAGAAGCGCACCACCGACACCGACAGTGCCACCGGCAGGATGGCGGAGCAGGGCTTGGGGTAGTTGAGCAGCAGCGACGTCTCGACGGCGATGGAGAGGTTGTCGTCGCTCAGGTCGACGTCCATCAGCGCCTGCAGGCGGCCGCCGTCGGAGTTTGGGTCGTCGACCGCGATGATGCGGCAGTTGCTGAAGATTGGGAACTCCTCGCCCAGGGAGATGTCCGTCACCGCGATCTTGTCGAGGAACGAGGGCTTCTTCTCCGGGTTGTTCAGGGCCGCGTTCAGCGAGCCCAGGATCGACGACGTCGGCGAGTCCTTCAGCAGGTATGCCGTCTGCCGGTACTGCGCGATCGTCTGCGCGATCAGCACGTTGAACCAGTCCAGGGACTCCGGCTGGTGCGAGGAGTGGTGGATCCGGTGCCGGCCATGCTTGGAGGTGAGGTTGGGCGGGATGGAACTGTAGTAGGTCTTGCGGAGGATCGACTGCGTGTTGGTCGACGAGGACGGCACCGGGCGGAGCACGTTCGAATTCGACGGCTTCTCCCGGAGCGAGCGCGAGTTGGCTGGGTTGGTCTCATTCGGGCCCAGGTTGTAGATCGAATTCGACCGCCGGTGGGTGGAGGTGCGGTGCGAGAGCCCGCGCGAGGGCGGTGGTGGTGCTTCGCCGAAAATGAAGAATTTGATGAAGGCGCCGATCAATAGGACCACGGATAACTGCCCGAGCAAGAATCCCTGTGTGAAAGATAGGCTACAGTAGCTCTGTTAGCCTTGGTCCTCCCTTCCTTGAAGGCCGTAGTTTAGTAAGAGGAGTGACGTACGAGGATTGCGCCGGGACGGGCTCGGCTGATTTCGCATTAAAGGTCAGTCAGTCAGCTCAAGGACAATCTAGGAAGGCAGATAAAAAAACACACCTTGTTGATAACACATCATCAGCACACTGTCGCCTTTGGGATGCTACCCATCAGCCATCGCCACTGTTGCTGAGAACTTGAAAGCTGAAGCTAAGTAGGAAATGAATTGAAGGCGGCGAACGGCAAGTGGGCGGCGCCGTCGAGGTTCCGCCTCCGATGCGCGCTAAGCCGATTAGTTTCTTGTCTTGTCTGGCCTTCGATTTATCTGATCGGAGTCGCCCTCCGTTAGTATTTGATTTTTGATTCATTATTATTGTTCTGTTCCATGGAAGTTTCCATCTGCTGAAAGGACACGTTGTACATTGATTAGGTTGCACAATCAATCCAGCCACAAGCTGGGAATCGGCTGTACACAACTCTTTCATTCACTGTTGCTTGCTGACACGGTTGCTTTCATATGATGCTTCTGACTTAAAAATCTACCCCAGATTCCAAGGATTCTTTCTCATCTCGCAATCTTCAAACTGACTCTCGAGCTCGAGACCAACAAACGCACCCATCATGCGCCACTCACGCCTATTACAGCTCCTCCTCCTTCTCTTCTCACAGCCGCTCCTATCATATGGCCGATCACAGCAACCCCCAGGCAGAGATGCCATCCTCCTCTCCCGCGTCCACTCGCTCACTCTGCGCGCAAATCGCCTGACCACCTCCCGACGCGTGTCGCCCATCCCTCAGTTGAAATGCATCGGTCCCTCCAAGCGCATCTGCAACCTATACCCCATCGAAACGATGCGATGCACAAACGAAGGTTACGACTACGACGAAGAGGACATCCAGTGGACCTGCACTGCCTCGCTCCCACCGGAGTTCAAGCTTGGATCAACCGACGTAGTGTGCGAGGGTTACAGGGATGCTGATGATAAATGGGTCTTGAAGGGAAGCTGCGGTGTTGAATATCGCTTGTTGTTGACGGAGTTGGGAGAAGAGCGCTTCGGCTCAGGAAGGCAGGATAGCGATTTCTGGCCTGCAGACGTCGACCTATCTGGCTGGCGGGGCGTGTTTTCCACACTGGGCAATTTGGTTTTCTTTGGATTCATGGTGGCGTGTTTCTTCCTGATAATGCTGCCCATGCTGAGAGATTGTTTTGGCCTACGCGGAGGTCGGCGAGCTGAAGGGCTCGGTCGCGGCTGGGGTGGGTGGGGAGGAGGTGGTGGTGGTGGCGGCGGCGGCGGCGGCGGAGGCCCCTACCCTCGTGGCCCGCCCCCTCCCTATACCAGTTCCAGTTGTCCGGATCCTGCTCCTGCCTCTGAACCATGGAGACCTGGGTTTTGGACAGGTGCTTTGGGCGGCGCTGCGGCTGGCTATGGCCTGGGAAGCAGAAACCGTCGCCGCACCCCAACTTTCACACAAAGGCGCACTCCATCTTTCACGAGATGGGATGACCCCGGTGAAGGTAGCTCAGGGTCGCGCTCGCGCTCGCCGCAGTTTTCAAGTACATCCACAAGTACCGGGTTTGGCTCGACTAGACGCCGTTAAGGGGTGGGGAATGGCGAGGAGAAAGTGGGTGGGCTGTGAGTCTGATTCGAATGGCTTGGTGCGTCTCTTTGCTAGTTCATGGAGTAAACGAGTCTCTTAAATGAAGGAGCCACATGGCGGTTGTATTGATGCCTAGATCAGGGTAAGCATAGGTATCCAAGGGAAAACCCCTCTGAAAATACCTCGAAAACCAGACACCTTCGGTACCTGCTTTCCCAGCTTCCTTCATCGTAACACGAAGCACATAACGCCTGTATATTGCCACCTCTATAGGGACTCTGCCAGGATAACGCACTGTGTGCATGGCATAGATCCTCAAGGAACGTCGTCGATCGTGCCCAATACCTCCTCGGTTCCACCGGCCATAGCTTTCATCGCCTGCCTTCGGCTGAGTCGTTTGACCTTAGAAGGCATGTCGCCATTTTGGCCAGATCCTTCAGCCGCACCGTCCGGGTTGCGAAGCAGTTCTTCTTGAGCTTCCTTCTCTTTGGCATGCTGTTCCTCCATCTGTTTCCGTTCATCGTCTAGTTGTTGTTGTATGACTTTAGGATCATCATACACCGTGTTGGTCATTTGGGAATAGGTGCTGATGTCAATACTCTCTCGTGGACCGAGAAGAGTATCCTTGATGCGCAAGGGGTCGCGGCGCTCCTCGTTGTTAAACTTTAATTTAATCTGCCGTCTGCTTCTCCCAGGGAAAAGTTTGCTGATCATCATGAAGTCGGTGCCAAAAATACGCAACCCTCGATAAAACAGATCCGTCATTTCCTCGTCCCAGGACTCTGTCTTGGAACGTTTCCCGTAAGTAGACTGGTTGATCTTCCGAGTGAGTGTGTTTTCTACAACGTCCTCCAGGGCGCCGGCATTTCGTGCTGCATCCGCATGACGGTCAACCTGCAAGGAAGCAGTATCGAGCACGATTTCTCCGTTGACAATTCGCATCACCGGTCCCGCTTGAGATTTGTTGTCAAGCATGCTGTTTCCTTCGACTGCTGGCGTGGCCTCGGTTCCATTGGCCTTGACTGGAACCTCAGTGTCCCCCTCTTGCTGTGCACGTTGTTTGCGCTCTTGCTCTGCTTGGTCGAGGACGCGAAGTTCAGTTTCTCTCTTGGAGAGTTTTCCGGTCCGAAGGTCCTTGCATAATTCCGACATTTTAATGAGCCCGGGGGCGATTTCAACGTTCTCGGAACCTTCAGGAGTTGGCTCGCGCCTTCTCCGTGTACGAGTCTTTCTTTCTTTTTTCTTGGCCGTCGCATTCTCACCATTCCCTTCCTTGACAGATTTCCTTCGGACCTTGACCACCTTTCGAGGTTGCGTAGTAGGGGCGGGCGTCTGCGACTCTGTCTCTGTTTGACTTTCTGAAGGTTCTTGAGTGTCTATAGCGTTGGCTTGAGAAGCGGGGGGCGTGGGAAGTGGAGGGACTTGGGTCGCTGGAGGTTCTGTCGAAGCGGTAAGAGGTGGGATAGGAGTCTGGGCCGCAGAATTGGTCCTGGGGCGTTTGGTAGGGCGAATCTCGATAGCGCCATCTGCGGGACGGCGCGCGCGAATTTGAGGAGCAGCGGCCTCTTCAGCACAACGCTCCACCACGTGTGTTGGGCTGACGTCCCTACTGCCATCGGCGCGCGTTTCCAAGGGTTCGTTGATCGAAGACTGAGAAGCAAGTTCGGTAGGTGCGGTACTGGGTGGGGTGGGTTGGGGAGGTGGTGGTACGACTTCTGCGACCCCGGGAGGCGCTGCTGAAACAGAAGGCTTCCGCTTCGGTTGGGGGATTGCGATCGCGGTCGCAGACAATGAGGGCGTAGTTTTCTTCTTCGGGGCCGCCGCTGGTGTTTCAACAGGGACCGTGTGAGCGGCAGCGGTAGATTGAACAGAGGTGGTAGAAGGGCCTGGCTCAGGTGTGGCTGTCGCGGTCGCCGGCTGCGGTGTCTGGGACGCAGACGGCTGCGACGCAACACTGGGCCGTCGTGGTGGAGGGGGAGCTGGGGCGCGTCGGGCGGGCGCCTTCGGAGCAAACTTCTTGCCCGACTTATCTAGCGAAGCAAGAAAGATTAGATACGAGTCACACTGGGAATCGGAGTCCGAGGGAGGTGAAGGGAAAGAAAACTTACTGATGACCGAACTGGAAAAAGACTTCATTCCGAATATCAAATTCTGATCAGACTAGGTCATCGCCGACAGGTATTCGCTGGTAAAACAGCCGATCAAATGAGGGAATGAGGGAATGTTTGTGTGAAGGACCGAAGGAACAATAATGAGAGTGAATGATGGGTTGGTGGAGGTTGCTGAATGGATGCTGAATGGATGAAAGAGTTGAGTTCGAGTCTAGATGCCCAGATCTGCTGAACTCCCGGGGAAAGTGGATGGGGTCACGTGGGAGGCGCTAGGAAACGCAAACTCCCAGGCCGAAAATCCTCCTGGCTTTCCTTAAGTCTTGCTTATCTCAACCTTCTTTAACACATAAGTTGAACCGCCATCCAGCAGCATTCACTCTCTCCACTTATACCCCCCCTCCCACTCCACCCACCCTCATCACCCCCATCTTCAACGGTCGGATTCTCTTGCGCTCTCGGCTTTCGGCTCGTTGCTGCTCAGTGGTGACGGCCTCTAATTCACTTATGCCTCTGTAGCCACTGATGCCGGCCGCCGAAGCATCCCCCGTCGCATTTTCCGATTCCGGTTTTATCACGATGGAAGACCGGAAAAGAGCCGCTGCTTATGACCACAACGACTCGGCTCCACCATTGAAGAAGCAGGCGACTTCTGTCAATGGTGGTAGCAAGCCGCACCCTGATGCTGACATGCCCTGGAAGGATGATCTCGAGGTGAGTGCCACGAATAGCCCACGTGGGTGTCAACTTACCCCAAGGGTTACCCTAGAAACCCTTCCCAACGCCAAAGTCGACTTGATCGTGGACTCAACCAGGCGAGATACTGACGTCTCTTCGTCGCAGCGATTCCAAAAAGACGCAATATGGCGCCAGATGCAGGAGTACAAGCGGGAGAAGGTCTCCCTTGAGGCCAAGTTGAAGGAGTTATCCAAGTCGACCACCAATCATAATGATCACCTACGTATTATCGATGCCTGGTACAAACAAGTGAGTAGATCACCGCATTTTGCTCGCTCTGTGTTCAAGGCTGATTGATGCTCGTTAAGTTGATCGATGAGGTTAAAATACTCATGGGCGCTCCGGAAGAAGATGCCAAGGGTGGGTCCGCCGCGAGGCCACCAGTCGCTCGACCCCCAGCCACTAATAATTCCACAGAACCCTCGTCTTTCCAAAGCAGTCTCTTGTTTGATGATAATGAGAAGTTTGAGAAACATCTCAAATCTCGGTCGGAAGATATTCGGAAAATAATCTCGAGCGTTTTGTCTAAAACGGCGAAAGTCTCGCCCGAGGTCTCAGAGTTGCAGACCCAACTTGCAAAGAAATTAGCGGAAGAGAAGGCCACTATCAGCGACCTCGAGAAGGCGTTGGCGGAAAAGCAGCAGCTAGAGGAGAGCTTGGAGGAGGCATCTCTCCGTTACATGGTCGCTGAGAAGAAACTTGATCGTGCACGGAGCGTCACTGTCGCCAAACTAGAAAAGCAGTATATTCTCGGGGCCCAGCGGCCCGGAGGTGATAGTGCATCTGGACCGCGGGATGAACCGTCAGCCTCGAACGGCGAAACCCCGAGTGGTGAACGAAGCCCTGCGTTGGACGAAGCCCACAACAAACTCGCGGCCATCTCGGAAAAGCAAAAGGAGCAGCTCCAGAAATTGGAGGCCGAGAACGCCAAATTGTTAAGCCAAATCACTGATTTGAATATCAAGGTATGCTCCTTACGATGTTCTCTCAGCCGGGAAGCACTAACATCGGCGTAGCATACACGATTGACGGACGATGATTATGCAGGCACGGACCTGTTCAAACAGTTGAGATCGCAATACGACGATGTTGTTACTCGAATAAACCACTTAGAGGCGACTAATGTACAGCTTCGCGAAGAAGCGGCAAAACTACGGTCGGAACGAACTGCATACCGCAACCAGGTCGACGAGGAGACGCAGAGTGTGATTGCCGAGAGGGAAGCGCAACTGATGCGGGCTGAGACGGATTTGGCACGGATACGGAATGCGCGCGACGAATTATTGGCGGATCAACAAGTGCGAAAGGCCGCGCAGGAGCAGGAGAAAACCACGGCCATCAAAGTCCAGGAGCTCGCGGATGCAGGCCAGGCTCGAATTACAGCCCTGGAATCCGAGGTGGAGCGCTTGCGTGTCGAAGTTGAGAAGGAGAAGGCCGCCGCACCGAGTGTCGACGAAATTCCAACCGAAGAATTGCGTACTCGATTTCGCAATCTAGAGCGCCAATATGCGATGCTTAACACCGAGTTATCCTCGATGCAGATTGCTTGCAAGAAGTATTCGTCTCTGGCTTCACAGAAAGTCACCGATTTCGGCGCTCTGGAAGAAAAGGTTGCACGGCTCATAGCGGAGAAGTCCAAAGCAGATCAAAAATACTTTGCTGCGATGAAAAGCAAGGAAGCTCGGGAATTGGAGGTTCGCACTTTGCGTATGCAGAACTCCAAGAGCTCGGACATTGTCACGCAGCTGAAGGAATCCGAAGCTGCAACCCGGAATTTGCTCGCGAACATGGAAAAGCAAGTGAGTGAGACCAAGGAAGCACTGAACAGCTTGATTACCAAGAACCACGCTGCGCAACAACAAATCACAGAAAACAATATCACGATTGAGGGTCTGAACAGGCAAGTGGCGGATCTCAAGGCGTTGTCGGCATCTAAGGATTCGACACTTTCCAGTACGGCCAGTGCTTGTCGTACAGCCGAAACAGAAGTGGAGGGCTTGAAGGCTACCCTGGCGGACACCAAGAAGAGTCTAGACAACTGGAAGAACAAGAGTCTTGGCAACCAGTCGTCGGAGTATGAGATGCTGCGGGTCAGTACTACGTCTTATAATTGCAGAGGAAAGTTCGTTCCCATTGCTAACAATTCTATAGACGCTTGCTCTCTGTACAGTTTGTCGCCGCAATTTCAAAAATACAGCGATCAAGACTTGCGGCCACGTCTTCTGCAAGGATTGTGTTGAAGAACGTCTCACCTCGCGGTCACGCAAGTGTCCTAACTGCAACAAGTCCTTCGGCAATAACGACTACATGCATATCACTCTGTGATCTGATGTCACCTCTCCGTTTATAAATCTCTTGTATCATAGTCTACCTCTCCCTTGTCCCCTTTCCCCCTTCCCTATTTCCCTTCCGACTTGCCATTCTGCCGTTCTCACTCCCGATTTTTCTCTTTATGCCCGTTTTATTACCCTTTTTCTCTTTTTCTCTTTTTCTTTCTACCCCATATCTTTCTCTAATCATGGAAAAAGGCTCATGGTGCGGTGTTTTACTGTGTTTTTAGCAGGATAGGATTCTCAAGAAGGCCGGCGTTCGATTCAGATCTGTTCCTTTTTGATCAGATATCTTCTTTGCATATTGGCCGGGTTGTTGGTCTTCGGGTTACCGGTTTGATTCCATTTTCCTCTTTACTTTCCGTTTTGTTCGATTCCCTGTTCGTGTTTCGAGGCGTCCTCCTTGGATACCCACGTGAAGTTGAGATGAGGTATGCAGCTCACATGTAGGATTAACTTTAGAAAAAATAACTATATTGATGAAGAGACCACACAAAGATGCTGAACGCAGCCCAAATTTATCCAATGCTTCAATATTCCGCCAATACCCAAACTCTTGCGCTGACCTACCATGGAAAAAAAAAAAAAAAACACAACCAATGCCCCCTATCCCAGAAGACCAATGACTCCGAAAGAAAATGCAACTATGCTTGGTGTGGTGGGTGGTGATCAGGAATTGAAGATCCGACTGTACAGCAGCTCGTGTCTGCCCACCCAGAGATCCAACGGCGGCACGATCTGCCCGGCATCCTCGACGGGGGTGTCCCATTCCTTGTCGATGCGTTCAGTGATCATGTCCTGCAGACGCTGGCTGGCCAGCACGCTCTGCGCCTGGTACGGGCCCATGACCGAGGCCCGCACCGCCGCACTCAGCACCGCCTTGGCGTGGTTCACCATGAACACATACGCCGTCTGGCGGGCATCCATGCCCATGGCCGAGCACACGACCCCCCACAGCGGCGCCAGATGGCCCTTGGGCCCCAGCTCGTCCGCCGTATCGCCGCACAGCTTCAACGCGTCCGAGAAATCGGCAATGGCCTGCACCGCGGCGGCCGCGGCGGGGGTGAGGCTCGTCGTCGTCGTCGTCGTCGTCGTCGCGGCGTAGGAGGCCCGGAACGCACGCTCCCAGACCCCGATCAACGCCCGGCCCTGGGCGACACTCGCGCGCTGCGCCACGATGCACGGCGTCGAGGCGTCCATGTCATTGTCCAGCGTCTCCAGATCCTCCGGGTACCGGTATGCGGCGAGCACGTAGGGGATGGAGGTGCTGGCCATCGAGGCGATCGAGAGCTTCAGGAAGCGATGGAACGAGGCCACGGGGGTGACGGTGCGGGGCAGCGGTTTGTTGTGGGCCAGGTAGGATTCCAGGCCGCTGGAGTAGGCGAAGGAGCCCAGCGGGAGGGCGGAGTCCGAGAGGAGGAGGAGCGCGTGCGAAATCGGGATTGCAGCCGGTGGTGGTGCTGTGTTGCCTGTGTGGTTTGGTGAATCAGGAGGCGGGTCACGGTTGTAGATGGGGTATGTATGTACATACCCTTGGTGGGAGTCATGTCGTAGTCGGAGTCGTCATCGTTGTGGTTGCTGTACGGCGGCGGTAGCGGTGTGGACGGCGAGGACGATGCCAGTGCGAGACGTTTCCGCGCATGTTGGAGGCGGGATTCGAGATCGATGATCTCTTGCTCTAGGTCTCGAGTGGTGATTTTGACGGCCATTGAGTGGTGTTTAGCGTTCTAGCCAAGGTAGGGGAGGAGGTTCTTGGGAGGAATTGGAGGGAGAGTAACAATTGACAATTCATGATGCCTGGCAAGGGGGGGGGAGTGGCGCTTTTGTTGTAGCTCTTTCAAGGCGAATTCCCCTTCCCCGCCAGCCGCGCCATCTTTTTTTGTGCAATTTCCCCTTATCGGTTGAAGTGCCGATAACGGGTCCCATCGGACTCGGAGCTGACCGGGTGGAAGTCGAGATAAATCAAGTAAACATGATACGTAATTGGAAGAAGCCAAAGTTTCTCCGCGGTGAGATCCGGCAGAAAAGCATCCGGTCGCGTGCGGGAAATTACCGTCGAGTCCATGCGGTTTCCACCAATGCGTTCATGATTCCGGCATTACCGGTTTCTGGATAGATTATCGCTCTCCTTCGGATCGAATCATGCGCAGAGAATAAGCCTGGGGCATTGAACGGGCTACCTTTTATATATATATATATATATACCTTACAGGCGTACACAGACAATGTCGGGCAAGCGTCTATTGGACGTCATTCAATTGTGCAATGTCGCCGGGACAGTGGCCGCGAGGCATCTCGCCATCCGCCAGCGCCAGGTAGATCTATACACCCGCACTTCCTCCCTCACCAAGGGCATCAAGAGCCACGTCGATGGCCTGTGTCTCTCGGCGCAAGCTGCAGCTGCACTAGCCAGGCGATTTAATGAGCCCGACCCCGAGCCCTACCGTCCGTCCGAGTCAGCACCCACGACCGCATCAAGCTACACGGAGCCGACCCCGACCACTACGACCAGCAGTGCGACATCCGATCTCTCCCCCGCTCAGGCGCGGCAGGCGCAAAGACAGGCGGAAGCTCAGATCCCTTCGAGGGTGGCGGACCACAATGGGGGCGGGCAGGCTAGTCCTTTGGATGTCAGTCAACAACAGGATGTGTTCTACGAGCCTCCCAAGCACTCCACAGCGGGTGACTCGGGGCTTCCCCGGATGAAGTTGCCCAAGGCAGCGAACGACACACAAATCGGGGCCGATCGCGATATCAATGCGGATGTGTTCCAATCCTCGGTGAAGACTGCCCCGGTGGATCAGTCGGCAACCAACAATACGGCCGACCCGAGCGAAATTCCGGAGGAGATGATGAAGGATATTTTCCACAGTCCCAGAGTCGCAAGGATGATGTCTCGGAAGCCGGCTGCGGATATGCGGTACAAGCAGGCGGGCGCGGTGCCTCGGGCAGAGCATGCAAAGCAAATCGAACAGGAGACAGAAGAAGCCCGTGCTGTGGGCGAGATGGTCGCGGAAGCGGCAGCGGCGGTATGTTGAGCAGTGGTTTGGTCCTGCAAGAGATGAAAAGCTGACGTTCTCCCGCAGACAGAGCCAGAAACGGCTGTCGCCCTGAAGAACCAGAACACATACAAGATGGTCGAGTCCCGCGTCCCGTCATCCCGCATCGGGAGATTATGGCAATACGGCGGACTGGCCACTTCAATGGCGTGGGGTGCCATGGGCGAGGGTCTTCGCAGGGTCACAGGCAGTCAAGCCGAATCATCCGGGTCGCTCATGTTCAGCGCTGCGAACACGGAGCGGCTCGTAGCTAAATTGTCCAAGATGCGCGGAGCTGCCCTCAAGTTAGGACAGATGATGAGTATTCAAGGTATGCGCACCCTCCAAGCTTCGATTCTTCCGGACTGACGGAGTTCGCTCGCAGACACAAAGATGCTTCCTGAAGCTATCCATCAAGTCCTCCAACGAGTCCAAGACCGAGCAGACTACATGCCTGCCTCGCAACGCGATAAGGTGCTGACTGACAATCTTGGCCCGGACTGGCGCGATCTATTCTCTTCCTTCGACGATATCCCCATGGCCGCTGCCTCGATCGGCCAAGTGCACAGTGCCGTTCTGAAACGTACCGGCCAGCCCGTGGCCGTCAAGATCCAATACCCCGGGGTCGTCGACTCCATCGACTCCGACCTCAACAACCTCTCCATCCTCCTCACGGCATCCCGCCTCCTCCCCCGAGGCCTCTACCTCGACAAGACCATCGAGAACGCTCGCACCGAACTCGCCTGGGAGTGCGACTACATCCGCGAAGCCGAATCGGCGAACCGCTTCCGCGAACTCCTCCGCGACGACCCCGTCTTCCTCGTCCCCGAGATCATCCCCGAAGCGTCCGGCAAGCAGGTGCTCACCATGGAGCGCCTGGAGGGCATCGCCGTGACCAAGATCCAGGACTTCACGCAGGCCCAGCGCGACTGGATCGGCACGCAGATCATGCGCCTCTGCCTGCGGGAGATCACCGAGTTCCGGTACATGCAGACGGACCCCAACTGGACCAACTTCCTCTACAACGCGCGCACCGACCGCCTCGAGCTGCTGGACTTTGGCGCCTCGCGCGCCTACCCGACCGAGTTCATCACCAAGTACGTCCGCACCCTCGTCGCTGCCTCCAGCAACGACCGCGACGCCTGCCGCCGCTTCTCCCTCGAGCTGGGCTACCTGACCGGCCACGAGAGCCAGGCCATGGTCGACGCCCACGTCACCTCCGTCATCACCATCGCCGAGCCCTTCATGGAGACCTCCCCCGACGTCTACGATTTCCGGGACCAGACCATCACCGACCGCGTGCGCGCGCTGATCCCCGTCATGATCCGCGAGCGGCTCACGCCGCCCCCCGAGGAGACGTACAGTCTGCATCGCAAGCTGAGCGGCGCGTTCTTGCTCTGCGCTAGGCTGGGGAGTAGGGTTCCTTGTAAGGAGTTGTTCCGGGAGGCGATTCGGAGGGCGGAGGCGAAGGGGCTGAATTGACGGGATTTAGCGAGTGGTAGGGTTCTTGAAAACCTTGTCCGGGGGATTTGCCTCGTTTTCGGTTGAGCAAGGATAGAAGATCTTTCAACTCTTGTATATTAGGATAGATGTTGTGTATGAATATGGACATGACTTGACACGTTCCACGATTAACTCTAGTAAGTATACAGGTGCATACCCACGGATGATAAGACACGACAACACCAAAAAAGAAAATTACTACCCATCAAGAGGCATTAAAGCTGTCCACACCTCAGCCAACCTGAACCCCTGATTTCTCCAGTTCAACAGGTGCTTGCTACTTAGATGACGCAAACACCTGCACCCCAGAACCCCGAGACCCCAGACCTACCTACCTACCTACCAACCTACCTACCAACCCCACCATCGCCCCCCATACATCGCCCGGTAGTACTTCTCCACCCTCTTACAGACCCCCTTCTTCCCCTCCCAGGCGCGGAACCTACCCTCGAGCTCGCACGCGGTCCACCGAATCTCCTCCCAGAACTCCTTCTCGACGTCCCGGCCAAACGCGCGGATGATCTCCGGCGGGCCGGTCCAGGCGCGGGTGTAGCGGCCATCGTCCCCGATGGCGGGGTTGACCTCGTGCGCATCGAAGACGGTGGCGGGGTCGAATTTCGGGTAGTTGGCGTGGATGAAGAAGGCGCGGGGGATGCGGGGGGCCGTCCTGGTGGTATTGGGGGGTGACAGGAAGAAGCCGTGCGCTTGCGGCTGGAGTTTGTGGGTTTCCTCCTCGCGGTGACGATGACGAGCAAAGTCCTCGGTGGGGTCGAACTGCACCATGGCGGAGCCCGCGAAGCCGCCGCGCTGCGTGGTGTGGCCGATGGCGCAGAGGGGCTCGGCGACCTGGTAGTGCGGTTCCGCGAGCGCCGTGGCCGCCGCCACGAAAGTCTCCTTGTCGCCTTCCCCGGCGGCGCCCTGCGACAGCAGCGGGTAGTAGAACTCCGGGCCGTGGATGTTGTAGTACGTGCTGAGCAGGAGGGTGCGCAGGTGGGATCTTTTCGAGAGGAGGACTTCGCCGGATTCGCTGGACGGGCGCGTCGGGGGTTTCGGGGCGGGTTGGCCCGTGATCTCGTAGTAGGAGGGGGAGATCGTGGAGGCCCAGAAGTCCGGCCAGGTGATTAAGCCGTACGAGAGGAAGGGGTCCCGCGTGAAGAGGGTCTCTGGGGGGAAGAGTGCGAAGGCGTCCGCGTCGAGGAAGAGGATCTCTTCGAAGGAGGAGAAGAGCATTGCGAAGAGCTTGAATTGGTATTTTTCGATGTGGATGGAGTGCGGGATCGCGCTGAGGATCGTGGAGAGCACGATGCATTGCGCGTTCAGGGACGGGAGGACCACGTCGCAGATGTACGTCTCGTACTCGTCTTCGCTGGCGAGGAAGACCTCGACGGGGAGCTGGGAGCCGGTGCGTCGGAGCATGCGCAGGGATAGCACGAGCACGGGGAGGTAGGATCCTCCGGCGGTGGACACGAGGCCACGCGTGTTACGGGTGTAGTTCAGTTGAGGGGGCGTGGTTTTGATCGCGTTCAGGAAGCCCCTGTGCGTCTGTTGCAGGTCCTCGATGTCCATGGGGAGAAGATCGAGGAACTCGGTTTGATCGTACGGGTCCGCCTGCTCGAACCGGATGGAAGGTGCCATCCCCAGCCTCAGAGGGGGTAAGCATTTTGGTTCGTAAGTGGTCAGCAGGGGCTGGAATTGGCGCCAGAATTCGATGTGGCCTTCAGTAGCATGACGCCAGGTGACTTGAGCTTGTCTGGGGGCAGCTGGGCCATCTATGGAGGTGGCTTCGGGTGTATCACTCTGCTTGTGCCAGCGCGAGAAAGACTGGCTGCATATCAACACGAACAATAGGCCCGCCAAAATTATGCGTATGCGTATGCGCAACGCTGCGCGACTTGGGAACATTGCTCTCCGGAATTCATGAATCAGGGGATTCTCAGTGCAGCGAGACTGTTGTTGGTCAAGCGCTCATTGAATCGGGTCTTTATTGTAAATTTGTCACACCCCCGAGGCGAAGAAGTTGTACAGTCGCAAATTTCACAATAAGGAGAGGTCCAGTCGATATATTTCACTGTGTCTGTTGGATTTGTATGGAGACTCAATGCTTTACAGGCGCTAATTGGAAACACGAGAGACAGACTTAGATGCAGACTGCGAGAGACACAAAATGTTGCTTAGGGGATAAACAAGTAGGCGGGCATGTAGTGAAAATAGGTCGTCATCATGAGCAGAAATAAAGAATAGGAGTTTTGAATTGATCGAGACAGTACAGGTCCGCCTGAGTTCCATAGGTCAGAATGAATGAATTTGCTGCAATTCAAGACTCGCGGAAACAACGGGTATGACGCTCACCATTATCGTCTCATGCTCAATGTCACCATAAACCCATCCAGCGTTTCATGTTGTTAGGGCATGGCGAACCCAGGTTCCTGGCACCAATAGAAGCATGAGTGAATAACCCAGATATCACAAATCATAAACTAAAAGTGACTCGAGCATATATAATACCCTCGCCTACGTCTCAAGTAATTTGGAGTGAAGTAATCGGATGGACGAGATGATGGATAGGGAAGAATGTAAGATGTTGATGCTACAATGCGGCCCGATGGTCGATGGGCGATCATTTTGCTGAGGTAGCATTCCCCATGTTTCCCTTCCGGCAAAAGTCCGTTTGGTAGGCCCAGACCTTCAACCACGGACGCTTGACATCCGACTGCACCTGAACCCCCTAAACTAATCAAATCAATTGCATCACTAGCAGGCATAGTTTGTGGAGAAGCATGTTTGAGCCCTCCACTGCATCATGGCTTCAATGCTTTGGATCTGAATGACTTTTATCTAGAATGGCTCGAGCTGCGGCTGGCCTCCTCTTCCTCGACAATCGTGTCAGCTAGAAGAGCAGCCTTTTTCAGATCCCTCGAAGCTTGTCTCCCGTGCCATGCTGTGAAGTAATCATCCTCAGTACTGGGATCGCTTGCAGAAGGCGTCGTCTTCGTAGTGTCATCAAGGAGGTCATCATTACTCCCATAGAACTTTCGGGCAGCGGTACCCAGTACAAACTTTACCAGCCGATCTGCTGTCTCGACGGTGATTGTAGTTGTGCCGAACAAGATCAATCCAAGGCCGATTCCTGCCAGGATGGCAATCGCAAGGAAAGCAAATAGAGCCTGCGCGCGTCATATGAGCGCTCTCTCTCTTCTTCTTGCGATACGAGAGGGACAAAGCACGCGAATGATTTACGTACCTCAAACTTAACAAGTATTCTCAAAGGCAACAAGATGATACGAACTGCGAAGTAGCCCAGTGCTACCAATGGCGAGGTCAGAATGCGCAGCAGTGTATATGCCCAGCGCACAAGGTAAAGAGTAGGATAGAATAAGGCATTGAAGCCGCCCCGCAGAATTGACAGCCAAGCCATTTGCTCAATTGAGATGACAAGACCCTCCCACCGGGACTAGTTTCACCTTAGTACGGAGTAGTTCAGAATATATTAAGCAGCCCAGGACTGTCGTTAACGTGTCTAGACTCTACGAGAGTCCATGTTTGGGAGAGGCTGGTAATCTGCTTATGTCAAGCGGTCTGGGGCGGCAGAAGAGCGGATATTCCCCGCGATCGGTATGTACAAGTAAAGTAGGTGCGATGGACTTCCGATTTGAAGACATGTTCTTAGAAAAGAAGCTGGAAGGCCACTCGATATGAATTGCAAGACAACAATGTACAGTACAGCACAGGGTGTGAGCGCCTTGTGAACTGAATAGGATGGTACTATAAGGCCGACTCTTGGTTTCGGTACAACTATTGGCAAACAAATATGTTAACTACTGAGCAAGATACGGAGTAGCGGCCGGAGCGAAAGCCGAAGATGGAAAAAGCGGGGATCGGGGATAAAATGATTGAGACTCAGTCAAAGCAATCCGCAACCCTAAGCCCTAAGTAGGCCTTCCTGGCCCAGGCTTGTCTCCTCTTCTAGTACTAGTCTGGGGTCGACGACATCGACATCATCAATCATCAATCATCAACGCGGCAACCCATCAGCGATTATCCTCCACCCCGCCTTTGTTGATCTGGACTCTTTCATTCCCAAGATACCATTGCAACTTATTTCCCCTCATTTACTGTGCTACGTCTGTCGATCATTATACGGTGTTCCCTACCCAGTTGTCGATCTCTTATTCTTCTCGGAATTCCATTACCCCTCCGCCGTCAGAGGCCGACCTCCGGATGCTGGCATCTTTTTCTATGCGCCTTTCTTAAACATCTTTCGTGCAGCGTCTTACTACAAACCCTGATACTCTCAGCTTCACTTCTTAATAAGTGTCTCGGTATTCTCTGTTCAAATGGGCAACAATCCTTCCAAGGGCCCGGCCGGAGACGCCCAAACCCCCTCGGGTCACTCGGGCCTAACAGCACCCGCGAGTGACAAAAGGGTACATCGTCGACCTTCGGTCAATGCCCCATCGGGTACCACGAAGGCTTCCGCAGCCGATCCTTCTGCCACCAGAGAGACCGCAAAGGGCTATCCAACATCGCAAAGCCACCATTCTGTTCAACAACGCCTACAATCCCGCAATGTCGCCGACTCCGCAACGAGACCCGCAGATCTTCCGACTCCAAAAAAAGCAGACCTTCGCGATGGTGACATCCCTTCGCCTGACCCTTCGAACCCAGTACAAGTTCCTGTTTCTCGAGCCACCGCTAGGAACGACCCCATGGCGCCCTCTGGTGCGCCGCCAAACGTATATTACAGCGCCTCCGTTCATCTTCAGCGCCCTCCGCGCATGCCGCTACCCATTGGCGATGCTACAGCTGTTGGTCGAGAAGATGGTTATATGGAGTCGCTGCCCGTCGACCAGCTTTTGGACGAACATATTGAGCAAAGGCACCCGAGTCAAGGAAGCACCACCGTGGAAGATGATGAGGTATTGGACGAGCTTCAGCCTTTTACGCCTAGCGGAGTTGGAAGGGCAGTACCGACAACCATTGAGTGGACCGGCCCTGGAGACAAGGTTTATGTAACTGGAACATTCGTGAATTGGGAAAAGAAGTTCCGTCTACACAGAAGGTACGTGACTACCACCGCACGCGTCTCAGCAGCGACTGCTCGATCTCTTCCAGCTCGTATATTGTTTAGAAATGCGGTGCTTTGGGTAGAGGACTTGCGGCTGCCGCTTTTTTCAATCGTCACTAGCTACCTGGCTTTCGATGACTGAGCGATTATTTCTGGAGCAGTGAGAACAACCCAGGCGTTATGTCAGCTAGATTAAATCTCCGTCCGGGTACCCATCATCTCAAATTCATCGTTGACAACGAAATGCGGGCTTCTGATACTCTTCCCACGGCGGTGGACTTCACCAACCACTTGGTCAACTATATTGAGATCAGTGCTGATGACATTAACCGGGGGCGGAGAGAGAGCGACAAGGGCTCGGTTCCCCCGGGTATTCGTCCACCTCAGGTCCTACCTGACCCTGCCACCCCCGATCAGGAGGGCGGTTCCACCGTGGACGACCAATCCGATAAAGAAGAGCCAGAGGAGGAGATACCTCTTGGTGATTTCCGCGGTATCATTCCCCAGTTTCTTCTCGACCTGGACAAAGAAGAGGAAGCGCCTGAGTATCAGCAAGCTGTCAATATCGTCGGGGATGCTCCAACGCCACCAAGTCTACCACTCTTCCTTGGAAAGTCCATCCTGAACGGCACTACACCGATGAAGGATGATAGTAGTGTATTGAACTATCCCAACCACACAGTGCTCAACCATCTTGCTACAAGCAGCATCAAGAACGGTGTTTTGGCCACTAGTGTGACAACTAGGTACAAGCGAAAGGTAAGTCCATCATCTGTATTTGGTGTCCTTCTCCTAGTTTTCCTTGTCTGATATTGACTCGAATTGTACAGTATGTTACGACAATTTTGTACAAGCCTACAGGAGATATCTCGGAGTAATTAAAGATAGAATTTGACTCTTTCTACTGCTCTCGCCCCTGCATGGCCAGGACAGCGTGAGTATTGACTCGGTATCCAACCGCAGGGGAAAGTCTGTCTTAATGCAGAATGAAGCTCGCTGTATAACTCATCGATATGAAATAGATGATTTGAGAATTACGGATAGTTGACTTCCGTTGCATTTTAGTATCAAGGAGTCTCAAGTGCAAGAGATCCACATATAGTTGGGCATGCAATCCAAGCGGACTGGATCTTGAGTACCCCCGATCTGCTTGGAACAATAAACTTGAGATGCAGGGTCTGCTCCCCTGCTCGATGTTGCTCTGTTATTGAGGTGGTGTATGACTAGCAATTAGCATCGGCTGATAAACGAGCCCTCCTGAGTGCCGGCTAACGGTCCCGCGGTTCCTAGGGGTTCTCGCTTTGGCTCGTACAAATAGTTGTATGATGTATATCCGAAACAAGCTTCTACCTAATTCCTCAATATCGAGAAAGGGCCGGTGGGTCCAGAAATGACACATTATCCGACAGCTTCCGGCGCAAAACTATCTGATATTGGTTGTAGTCTTTGATATAGGAATAGAAGGAGTGATCAATCAATGAGTATTCGATAGGCTGCACCAGTGCTACTGACTATCTTGCAAGGTTAACTTAAGTATGGTTTTCAAGCGCCGAACCCTGCGGCCTCTTCGAAGAATTTTGTCTAAGTTCTATTACTTATATCATGAAAATCATAACTCTTGATCAAATCGGCACACGGTTCAATCCCTCCATTTCACCAGAACCTCGTCCGTGCGAAACCGTTGCGTACAAGTGGCGTCCTTGAGCGGCGTCCGGAAGCCAGTCTTGTAGGCCATCAGACCGGCCTGAGCAATCATAATGCCGTTGTCGATGCAGTATCTCTCATCCGTGGCATGTACGGTGCCCCCGCGGTCTCGAGCCATGATGCCCATCATCTCCTGCAACCGTTCATTACATCCCACACCACCAACAATCAGCACTTCCTTCGATCCCACATGCGCCATCGCACGTTCCGTGATCTCCACCAGCATAGAATAAACGGTTTCCTGCAGTGAGAAGCACAAATCCGCACGAGTCGGCTTCCCATCGTCTGCTTCCCCGGAGGCAGAGTCCGCGCCCTCTTCCTTTCCGTCCCACTCCCCATCGAGTCCGTACTGAACGGCCAGCGCATCAATCGCTGCTAGAACCCCAGACATGGAGATGTCCATTCCCTTGACGGTGTAAGGTAGATCCACGAGTCGCTTGCCCTTCTTGGCCAACTGTTCGATATTATAGCCCGGCGCAGGGTCATTGGAGATCTGTAGCGTGCGTGCGAAGCGGTCCAGACAGTTTCCGACGGCGATATCAAGGGTCTCGCCGAAGATGCGGTACCTCTGCGAGCTGTATGCGATCACTTGGGTGTTCCCTCCGGAGACATAGAGGACGACTGGGTTCGTGGCGCCGGTGATGGCCCGACCCATTTCAATGTCTGGCAAGCTTAGGGTTAGCGACGCGGTGGATCAATTTGCGGCCATTGTGTCCAAGATCTCCAAGGAGGGTCAAGGGTGGGTAAAAAGAAAAAGGGGGGGCAGATGAATAGATGGAGATATTAGAGGGGGGCCAATGCGTCGCGTCCGTCCCCACATGGCACCCCTGTGTAAGAAGATCTTGATAACGGGCTTGCAGAGATGACGATGCTGTATACTTACGTCCAACACAGTGATTCACTCCCACCAACGCCTTGCTCCAAAGTAGACTCAACATGCGCGCGGCAATGGCGCAACTCTGCAGAGGGGCGCCCATGCCAGGACCCTTGGTGTAACAAATACAGTCAACATCCTTGACGGAGACCCGCGCATCTTGCAGGGCTTGCTTGACTAGTTTCACCACCCAGGCGCGATGGTGGCGGGCAGTGTCCTTGGGGAGGAAACCCTCGCCGGGAGGAGTGACATAGGTGTGCCGCACGTTCGCAAGCACCTGCGGGGTGCTGCCATCTTCCGGGTGGAAGATAATGCCCACTCCGACTTTGTTGGCAGAGCCTTCGATTCCGACGGCAATCATGGTGGAAGACGCGGCGCGAATGTTTGGAAGTATAGATTGACTAGGCTTTCTGCGCAAGGATGGACCGAATTGCAAGCTAAGCCGACAGACAGATCACCGCTTCGGAGAAGCTGTTCAAAAAATGAACCTCAGGCCGGGACGAGCCAGTGATGGAGGGGCAAATTCGGGCCTGGTTCGGCTTTATCAGCAACGTTATCGATTGGTCGCCAGAGTCTGGAACGGCAAATCCGCCGCAGCGTTTATCCGGCGGTACAGACAACTAAACTGCCTGTCACTCAAAAAGTGGTAGGTTAATATTAAGTACGGTACGGTAGACCAGGACTCGGTCTATCAGCGTCGTCGCTAAGTTAACTACTCTCTAACTAAACTAATTAATTACTCAGGTCTACTTACCCACCCCCCATTTTCTCCATTCCCTCTTCACCTTCTCCTTCCCCCCTCCCCCCTCCTTCTCGTGACACTTCATCAACCACGCCATACCTTTCTCCATCCTCTCCCCCTGTTCTCTCTGGTTTCATTTCCCTCGCTCCAGGAATTTCCGCGGCCGCCAGACGGTGGGGGGTTGCTCAGTTTCCTTTTTCTCTGGTGTGACGGCCAATTCACACCACACAACTTGACCTCTTGTCGTCCCACATCATGTCCTCCAGTGCCCATTTTCCCGATGCAAACCACTTTCAGCAACAATCAGATGAGTTCATCACCTGGCTATCTAGTCTCCCGGGCGTCAAGTTGAACCCTAAGATCCAGATCGCTGATCTGAGGGCCAGCGGCGCCGGCCGGGGTGTCGGTATGTTTCCCACCCTCCCTAAACGAGATTTTTGTTCCGCATTGATCTTGTCTCATTGTATGCCTGCTTTGTGGAAGTTGTTCCCCCTCTCTGATATTCTCGTGTCACTCTACCAGTGGCTCGACTCGATCTCGAAGAAGGCGAAGAGCTTTTCACCATCCCCCGCGCCCATGTCCTCTCCGTTCAGAATTCGAATTTGAAGGACCTGGTCTCCCACGACCTAGAAGAACTTGGACCATGGCTGTCTCTCATGGTGGTCATGATCTATGAGTATCTTCGCGGCGATCAGTCCCCCTGGGCACCGTACTTCAAAGTCCTTCCTCGGAATTTTGACACCCTGATGTTTTGGTCCCCAGCCGAACTTGCGGAGCTCCAGGGCAGCGCCATCGTGAACAAAATCGGACGACAGGGCGCAGAAGAATCCATACTCGAGTCCGTAGCTCCCATTGTTCGGGCAAACCCTTCCCTGTTCCCTCCCATCGACGGTTTAGCCTCTTTTGACGGAGATGTCGGTACACAAGCTCTCCTCCACCTTGCTCATACCATGGGATCGCTTATCATGGCCTATGCGTTTGACATCGAGAAGCCTGAGGACGAGGCGGAACGCGATGGGGAAGATGGCTATGTTTCAGACGAAGAGGAAGGACAATCGTCTAAAGGCATGGTCCCTTTGGCCGATCTGCTCAACGCAGATGCCGATCGCAACAATGTAGGTGACCTTCCATTTATTCTGAGCCTCCTAGCCCAAACTAATGCTTCTATACAGGCTCGCCTCTTTCAAGAAGAAGAAATTCTTGTTATGAAAGCTATCAAGCCTATCGCAGCTGGCGAGGAGATTTTTAATGACTACGGAGAGATCCCCCGGTCAGACCTTCTGAGACGGTACGGGTATGTCACCGACAATTATGCTCCGTTCGATGTCATCGAGGTATCCCTCAGCAATATATGTCAGGCCGCGGGTCTTTCGAGTGCTGATGTCGAGTCGCAACCTCCGGTATACTCCTGTTTCAAGTCTCCTGCCAACATGCCCATACTAATTCTCACATAGCTCCGGTTCCTAGAAGAGTTGGAACTCCTTGATGACGGCTATGCCATCCCAAGACCCTCTCCTGAAGATCAATTGACAGACATCCTTCAGGATGAATTGCTTCTGTTGCTCAAGACTCTATCGTTGTCGCCAGAACTTCTGCAGAAGCAAATATCCAAAAACAAGCCTCCCAAGCCGACGTTCGGCGAAGCCGAAGCTACCATACTTGGTAGAGCACTGGAGCTTAACCAAGCGCACTACCCAACAACTATTGCACAGGACCAGGGGCTTCTTGCTCAATTGGGCCAGCCAGGCGCCTTCAACCCTGCTGATACCTATGCGCGCCGCAAGGCGATGGCTATTCAAGTCCGCCTTGGCGAAAAGGAAGTTCTCCAAAGTCTCTTTACGATGCTCAACGACCAAATCAGCAATCAGGCCAACGGGTCCGCGGCCAAGCGCCCTGCCAACGACGACCACGACGAATCGAGACGCCAAAAGGCTTTCAGGTCTTGAAGCTCTTGCTCCCTCGCATAGCTGACTATGTTCGAAAAGAAATTTCCAGAAAAGTCTTCATTTCTTTTTTTTTCAATCTTAATTGATATTATTCTTGTTTTCTTCGTTACTGACTTCGGCGCTTCGCTATCCGTACAGAGTCTATCGACTGCTCAAGTGAAGAAAGAGAAAGAGGAACAGAACAGGCTATGTACAGTGGCAATTGCATAAGATCAGGGGTCATGTCATAAGAAAAGCGCATCAATCCGGCGACGTTATCCCGGATCTCATATGCTTCCCCGCGTTCCAGGAAAAATAAAAGGGTGATGAGGGTATGGCGTGAGTAAAAGTACAGGTAAGGTAAAAGGGGAAATGACAGATGACGCCTGCCAGATGCTGAACATGGGGTTGAAAGAGATTAAAAGGATACGGGTGGGAAGGTGAAGACGTGAGAGAGGAGAAAACGAGAGAAGAGATCCAGCTCATATCTCAAGACGTGGAGGCAACGGCACCAGGCCCGGGATTAGACCCCCCTGCTTGCCCCCCGCTTGGTGATGTGTTGTTGCCCGTGGTTTGTTCGGCCTGCAACTTTCGTTGAGCTTGAGCCTGGGCCTGGGCTTGAGCCGCCTGCGCCTGCGCATGAGCTTGAACCGCTGCCGCTGCCGCTTGATCGCGAGCTTTTGCTGCCATGATGGCTCGATGTTGCATGATCTGGATATCGAATTGGTCCCTCTCATAATCGAGCTCCTCATCTGAATCTTCCTGATCGTATTTGAATCGATCAGCCTTCCACGGATCCATTTCAACTCTACAACGAGCCGCAAGGTTTCGGCGATCGATGAACAAACGACCCCCGCGTCCTATACGTCTCCGGAATGAGGGCATCTTGCTCGTGTCCTCGCTCAGTTCCATGGCATGGGGGGCTAATTTATTCGGGAGGGCAATGGCACTGCGGGTATCTATGGCTGAATCCGTCATGTTGTCGGACGACTCCGACGATGGTGGCGTCGGTAACTGGGTAGTGATTGCAGGGCGGAATGCAGCATCAAAAGTCCGATCAGGTGACGGGGAGAGCGGTGCTCGTGTGAAATCCACATAGCCCTCGTTCCACTTGATGTGCTTCGTGATATTTTGCTTGATGTCGCGGATGATCTCGTTTTCTTTCTCCGCTTGGACATCTTCCAGCAACTGCAGGTCTTCTGCCGGCTGCGTGCCCGCCTTGGGGGGCATACGCAGTTGGGGAGGTGCTGGGCGCTGCACAGCTGGTGCCTCGACCGGCTTCTTCTTGGGCTGGTGGCATGGTCAGTATCTATGGCTTGGAAGCAGGTCATGATCATCCTTACTCTCTGGTTGATAAGATCCTCGTCGTCGTCCTTGATATTGAGTTTCCTCTTCATATCCTTGACTTCGGATCTCTGCAGGAAAACCTGCCGTTCGACGGCGAGCATCTCCTTGCGCGCCAACTCACGCTGACGTACAAGTGCAACCAACTGCCGAGCATCTTCCAGTTCCTTTCTGAGCCGGCGCAGTTTGTCCGCGCTTTGCGCATCTCTGCCGCGGGTCTTGCGGGTCTGCCGTACCTCGCGCCTTCGGAAGCAGACGTATGGGTCGGTATCATCAGCTTCCCGACCAGCTTCAGCCTGTGAACAGTTAGCGGATCGGATGACCTTTGCCGCTTCATGCGCCAGGGACTCACCTTTGGTGTCGGGAGCAGAGGCTCATTCCCGCCGCTGATGCGTCGCGACTTCCAGTAGTCGTATATGTCCTTGGCGAAACGCTTTACGCTGTCGTCTACGGCTGGATCCATCGCCTCCTGGAACTCTTCGAAACTCATGACCGGGGAGTTATCTACACAAGCATACGGTTGCTCTTTCCTCGACGTCAATTCGAAGAAGCTCATGACTTCCTCAAAGTTGTCTTCTGTGCATTGGTTGGCGGCATCGCGCTTTTGGTTGAAGTTCTTAAGGAACACATCATCGTCCTCGTTCATGCAATATGGAGGTCCGCAGCAGTCCTCGACCGTAGAGGAGAAGCGGATGTATGTGGCGGGCTGCGAGAAGACTGGGGGGTAGAGCTCGTCATATCGGAGGTTACTGAGGACGGTCTCCGGGGTCGGAATATGGGCATCTTTTACTTTGCCCTGGGCTGCGGCACTGATAGCGACCTGCAGATGGAATTCCTGTAGAACGTAGGCGTCAGCGGGCTGTGGTTGTGGCCTTGGCTGCCGGGTGCAGAATTTTCACGACGGGTGAGGTTCGTGATGATGTCACGTGATATATGCAGGGATGCTAGTGATATACGGGGGAGAACACAACTCACCGACTCCTCCGCCTTCTCGACACCGGTCTCGATCTGTTGAAGGGCATTTTGGATCTCATCCTCGATAAGATCTATTTCATGTTCGCGGACTATGGGGATGGAGGCCTTGGAGGTGAGCTTTTTCGGGCGCGTCCTCCCCAAACCCCCGTACCTAGTCATACGAACTTCGGGGCGCGAGATCGGCCGCTGACCATGGGATGGGGGACCCAAAATTGGTATCAGTAGATAGGTCTGATCATGCGAAAGCACGTAGACGTATTTTTGTGATGGCAGTGGATGGTTAAGGGGGTGATATGGACGATAGAAATCTCGTAGTCTTTGCACCGGCGGATGAGTTGACGTTGCAATGTCACCCGGCAGTGGCCTGTTTTGGACCGGTGCACGGCCTCAGGGGTTCGCTTGCCTGTCTGTTTCGGGTTAGTGCGGGGCTGGTCGATATCAAAGTGCCGTTTTGGTCTGTATCGCCTGCCGGTGGAGTCTCTGTTCTCGCTCTCGCCCTCCCGCATTCGGCGTTCATCTACTTGTTGGAGTCATTTAGTTCTGGTTTCCTACCTGTCATTGTTGCCTTGATTCTTTCACCTGTTGTGGTTCCTGGTTGAATCGCAGTGATTAGACGAGAAATCCTATCAAACACACTTTCTTCCGCACTCCCCCTGATCCCCCTATCCTCCTCCCTTTTACATTCCGCTCAAAACAAAAGCCCACACCATGGACCATTCCAGTGAGCCCAACAATGCCGCCCTGTACGATGCGCGCCGCCGCAGGGGCTCGGTCGGCACGTCTCAGCTTCTCGACAACATAGTTTCTGCCTCCAACTGTTGGTCAAGCCTTTCGAGTGAACGGTCATCGTGTGAAACTAATGATGTGTAGTTGATCGCGATGAAGTTGACCGTCTCCGCAAGCGCTTCATGAAGCTGGATAAGGTTTGTCGTGATCGTGTAGCTTCTTTACATGTGACTCCATTCTGACACAACTCTGCGTGATTCAACAGGACAGTTCTGGTACTATTGATCGCGATGAATTTCTTTCTTTGCCTCAAGTTTCATCCAACCCACTCGCCACGAGGTACCTCCTCTTCTTCCTCTCTTTCCTTTGACCTACTATGCCCGATGCAATTCACACCCCCGCCTTACCCCACTATCACCTCACCACCTACCTCAGCGATCCAACACAGAATCTAACATATCCCAAAAAAAACAAAACAGAATGATCGCCATCTTCGACGAGGACGGCGGCGGCGACGTCGACTTCCAAGAATTCGTGTCCGGCCTGTCGGCCTTCAGCTCCAAGGGCAACAAGGAGGAGAAGCTTCGATTTGCATTCAAGGTGTACGACATCGACCGCGACGGGTACATCTCCAACGGCGAGCTCTTCATCGTCCTGAAGATGATGGTCGGCAACAACCTGAAGGATGTGCAGCTGCAGCAGATCGTCGACAAGACGATCATGGAGGCCGACAAGGATGGCGATGGGAAGATCAGCTTCGAGGAGTTCACGGAAATGGTGGAGAATACGGACGTCAGTTTGAGTATGACGCTGAGTATGTTCCCCCTTTTCGTCAATCGTGTTGTCTCTGGGTCGGGGTGGTGCTAACTTGCCGGGGTGGTATAGATTCCATCTAGTCGTTGGTTGGATGATGATGATAGGTGGTGTATACCCTTGACTTTGGAAGCCGAGAGGGTGGGTGGGTGTTTGATCTCAATTCTATGGGCATCTTGTGTGCCCGCGCGCGCGCGCGCGCGCGTGTGTGTGTGATACAACAATTCGTGATTCCCTTTCCCATCTCTGCGCTGTTATTCTTCCTCGAAATATCACCACTTGCGATTCGACATGGAACTTGACCTTCATTCAATCTCCTGCGATTTGCGACATTCAACCCGCCCTGCATCGCGGCTTTGCCCCAACCTCAACTGAAATGACCAACAACTCTCCCTCCCAACACCCACCGTTTCGCATGGATATGATTATGATAGCGATGATGACCCCCCGCCCTCATCTGCATGGACTGCCTTTCCGCGCCACTTTCCGCCAGCCCTTCCCTTCACGATCCTTTTGATCTCCCGATGCAGTGCATGAATGGTCTTTGGGGATTGGACTCTGTTTCCTCGTGTCTCTCCCCCTGGGATTCGGAGCAGGAAGGGGCGAAGATGGGCGAGTGTAAATAGGAACGACTAATTACATACGTTACTTTTAGCGACTATGTGCCTTATACGCAGTCTTACTATACTAAACCACGCTCTACGGGTATCTGATCACCAGAGATCCTTGGTGCAGTTCGTATGGGGTCCTGTGCATTAGCTGATCCAGAGAACCAGAACTGCCCGTGGGCTGAAAGACTACGGTACTTACCTGAATCACCTTGTCGGCGTGGAACGGAAGCAACCTGGGCAGCGCACTAAGATCACCCATAACAATGATAGTTACTCGTCACGGAGAGGGAGAGCGACGTGACTCCGAGGATGCGTAGGAAGACTACTGCTTAGAGGAGCACGAGCGATTGATTAGCTGAAGCTAACGATCCTTTTAGCCGCATGTCACTCATGTGGAGGGACAGTTTTGCGGGCTCATTCGACGCTCAAAGTAGACCAGCAAGATTGGGTATACAACCAGACTGAAACCGGGTGTCCAGATACAGTGAGTTAGCAAGTCCTGATTTCACTTTAGGGTTGGAGTATCAATCCACTCTACCAGGCAAGACCAGGATACTGCCAGGGTGAATTCAACGTAGAGATCGGGATCATCCTCCTACGAACTAGCCTGCGTGCTCGAGCTGGGCCATCACTGCGAGGACGAAGTACGATTCAAGTCCAATCTATATACAAGTCTAGAGAATGTCACCAGTAACTAGTGACTAAGACCCTCTCGGGCCTTCCCAGCATCAGATCCTCGACGGTCTGCATCTGAATCTTGACCTGCCGTTCCGCAACAAGGACAAAGTCCACGATCGCCACGCGGTGCACCCCACACACCCACTGTCCAGTCGTACACGAGGAGTCCGCGTGTCCGCTATGACACCCCTTCTCCTCGATCTCGATCATCGTCTCGGCGATCTTCGCGGCGACCATCCCCTCGCAGATCCCCTCGCGGCGCGGGTACTGCTGCAGTAAGCGGAGTGCATTGCGACGGACGGTGGGTTCCCGACAGCGGGTCGCAATGAGGAACAATGGCTCGGCCACGGTGGTTGAGAGACAGAAGCTGGGACGCGAGGTGTCTTTTCTCGCCTGGGGGCTCGAGTTCAAGTCATCTAACAGCTTGGTGGCCAGATGGAGCATTCGCTTGTAGTCTTTCAAGAAGTCGTCATGGCACAGCTCGCCTTTGGTGAAATCGAGGGTCAAGAACACGTGGGCGAAGATGCGACGGACGTAGAGCAGGTCGAGGGCCCGGTCATCCGTCTCGGAAGGCGCCGCGGCGGACAAAAAGCCGCTCAACCGGGCGTCCCACTGCTTGAAGCCGTCGACGCATTTCTGCTTCTTGGCGAGGTTCTCGGCAACGCGGGTGGGGTTGCTGAATTCCTTGCTCATCATGAGTCGCATCAGACTGTTGAAGTGGACTTCTAAGGAGAGATACGCGTCCAGCAGGGATCGGAATGGCTCCTTGGTGGACGACAGGATGATTCGACTGTCCGTCCACTGGAAATCGTTCCTCTGGTTGGGGAGGTATGGGCGGGCTTGACTGTCGAGTTGCGTGAAAGCCACCAGTAACAGATCAATCTCCCGATCATGGTCTATTCGTTCTCTTTTCCGGACTCCCAAGTCCCAGTGATGGAACATCTTGAGACCCGAGTTGATATGCACAAAGGCCTGCCATTGACGGCCCTGGAGACTCGCCATGCAGGTGAACAAAAGACAGGTGCTGAGCGCCACTACTTTGTCCAGACGAGTCAAGGTCGGCCTCGAAAGTAGCTTGCGAAGTGATTGGATGGACTTGTTGAATTGCACCAGGGCGAAACGCATGTTCGGAGTTTCGCCTACCCGTGCGACGGTGCTCGGGGTCCGATCAGTCACAAAGTCGTGGTGTACGCATGCCAGCGCGGTCATGGCATGCCAGAGAGTTGGGTACTGGTGCGCTAGTTGGAGCAATTTGCCGGTCCAGAAGCCAATGTCGAAGAAGCCAGCCAGATCGGTGGTGGTAACCGAGCGGAAGAAAGCAAAGTTCTCGATCTCGATCGTGTTGCCGGAGACCTGCGCCCAGGCCGATGGCATCTGCACCACGTGTGGTGGCTTGATCATCGGCTTGAGAGCAAGATCGTCGTAGCCATCGCAGTGTCTTCCGGTCGACGTACACCTCGCGCAGCTACCGTTGTGTTTTCGTGGTGTCAGACCGGGGGTGAAACAGCGAGATTCACTTGATCGAACCGGATATATCTTTCTCTCACCTCGGTTTCGTCTCGTCACACTTGATGCGTCGTATCCTAAGGAGGTCAGTGGACGCTATCTTAAGTCGACTTCACTCACTCGATCTTTCACGGGGCATACCTGCATGTTATGCAACCCGATTTGACTTTCGGGGCCCACTGTTTCAGCCTTACCCTGCCGGACTTGTTTAAACGAGAAGAGCTTTCTCCCATTGCAGTGGTAGTGTTGACCAGCAAACAACCACCAGGTCAATGCGGGTGAGCATAAACGAAATGTCCTCTCAGGCAGCTGGCGCCAAGCCAGGCTGGCGGAGAACAAGGAATAAATAAACCAGACATGCAGGCAGAGAGGCATGTACGCATGCTGGCTTGAGGGCGGAATAAGCCACTGCGCATAGTATGATTGGAAAATACGGGACAAAGCCCTGAAGCCGAGCGATCCGCTGCATCCTAGCGGCTGGGCAATCGCTAAGAATGGAAGGAGCATCACTCGGCTTTCAGTGATTTCAGGGATTTCAAGTGATTTCAAGTGATTTCAAGTGATTTCAAGTGATTTCAAGTGATAAGATCCGCTGTCAGAGAGAGGGACTGATCACGTGCCATCGGGATGTCGGTATATGCCCTCTTGAGTACATAGTAGACTTAGAAAGCCTCTCTCCTCCAGATCTCTGATCTCTGAGCCCTAGTCTCTCTACTCAAAACTACCTCTCCAACCGGCAGTCTCTCACCCACCTTCCCCCTCTAACAAGCATCTTGAAGACGTCGTCAGTCGAGTTTCAAACACCTCCGTCCCAGCAGACTCCGAGCGCGCAAGCAATGTAGCATAAGCTAACATCCACCAGAACCATGACTCGAGGTTCGGAGCTGAGCACTGACTACTTCGGTTCCATCCCACGGCAAGTGAGTCCCAGTACTTGAGAGACTGAAAATGCCACCTCACCTGCATCATCCCGTTTATCCAATGCTGCATGCGAGGGTAGGCTACTATTGACGTAGGCATCCATTGCATCAGCACTGGCGATGCCTCACACAGCAGTCCTAAGTGCTTCTTCACCGTGCTGTACAGCTTGTTGTCTATCTTCTGTTGGACTGATCCTCCTCGTCTACTGACCATTCACGCTAGTTCCAACAAATACGACCATATCATTCCACATATCGACTGTGGCTGGTCTCTCACCCCATAGCGTAAGCGTACTACTCTAATAGACTGTAGAATTGGTATAGCTACTCACCCCAGGTCTGGAAGGTAGTCGATCTCAGTACCCCTTGTAGTCCTCGACTACCCCTCTGGGGAAGTGAGGGCAGGCATGAGATTTGATGTCGCATGAGGCTGTTGGTGACCATGGTACAGCAGCGCTGGATGAATGTCTGAGCAATGAAGAAGAAAATCGAATGGGCTCAGCCATCTTTCTATAGTCGCACGGCTGCTGCTCAAGGTCATTGACGTACATGTGGGTGCAGCTTGATCATCGCTATAGATGGGGTTGTAGTACGATTGACTATGACCGAGGAAGGCGAGTGGATGAATCCATTTGTAGTGCGCTGTAGAGCTCAAGGCCAAGATCACTTCGAGGGAGATTGTCGGTTGACTGCTTACAATGTCTATGTAGCATGTAACAAGCGCACAGTCCTGATCAGACACATGTGACAGTAGCATGCATTCGAAGAGCTGTGACGGAAAGGCTCGATTATGACGAAGAAGCTCTTTCTTGTCAGATAGGGATAGGGCTTGCGACGGCGTCAATTGACTATTCCACAGTCAATAAAGATCAATGCTTGGCCTCAGCACTCAACCCTCATTCCCAGAGACTCAGGATACACAATGACATATTTCTTATGTCCTAAATGAGAACACAATCCTCCCTGGCTACCATACCTCGAAGCCTTGAACTCTTGAACCCAGTAGTCCCGTCCAACTTCACAGACACCGATAGCCTTAGGGCACAAGCTTCCCTGGTCTGCTACACTGTACATCACAGTATACTCATAGATAATACAAACTTCCCAGAAAGAAAACAGCCCAAAAAGTCCAGCCCAACCCACCGTCCCCCCCAAAAAAAACCAAGGCACCGTACTCTGTCACTCCAGGAGTCCAAGCAGACTCACGCCCAACCCGTGAAACCACGCGTGACTTCCGCCCACGATTCCCAAATCAGGTACCTCCGAGCAATCTACAGGAATGGTCGCCACTACTGCAACCCTAAGATCCTTCCTGGGGGCTGAAAAGAAAATCCAAGTTGGAAAAAAAATCAAAGCGAAAAAAAAAAAAAAAAAAAAAAAAAAAAAAAAAAAAAAAAAAAAAAAAAGAAAAAAAGAAGAAAGAAATATCGGACCCAGAAAATCCTAGTCCCAGGAACCGGGACGACGCTCGGACGGGAGGCCGATCTAGACGAGATCATGGATGTCAGATTCCCTTCCCCCTTCCCCACACCACCACCATCACCACCACCACCACCACTCCATTGGGACTCACTTGATGCTTGCGTGGCTCTTCCTTCCTTGCTGGAAGGGCGTCAATCAGGAGTCACGGGGTCGCGGGGATATGACCAGTTTCCGATCCCCAGGGCATTGATTGTCCATGCTGTCCTGTATGTACAGGACATAAGTCAATCAACTCGATCGAAGCACCAATCACCATGGTCCCGCTGCGTGCCCATGTTAGAGGCAAGATTCTGGCACTACTGTGCATGCCTCGATTCAGGAACAAAATGCACAGAGGGGGGAGCGAGAACACATGGCGAATTATCCACACCACCACATCCAGGCTGTTATCGACGCGGTTCGATCAACCAACCATCTTCTCTCGATCGGGAGGGATCGTACTGTGCCAAAGTACGGGAATCTTTGGGGCACAAGATGGCCATGGTAAGGAAGGGGGGAATGAACGCCAGACTGACTTTTTATCGGTTCTTTTGGTTGGTTTGGCATTGCGAATGGCTTTCGATACTTGACTTGCTGGGTCATACTGGGTGGAGATATACATCCGCTGATCTGATGCTCGGTGATACGGGCGGAACAAGCGAGCCGCCCAGCTACTACAATCGCATCTATTCATGAACCCACAGACTTTCCTTATTCAGATTCGGTTATTTGTCTGTCGGAGTGAAACCCTCTGCATATTGTCTCAGGAGCTCGAGTAAAGAAGCGAAGGGTTCAGGTACAGCTTTCCGGGTCAACTGGCTAGCCGAGATGGAGAACACATGTAAAATAGGTATAAGGGGTGCCTATGTTGAGATAAGTACTGTATAATAACGCATAAGAGGATAATATCTATAGCTGCATCTTTGGATGCGCCTGGTCCCCCTTTCGTTCATCCATCCATCGTTCATCCTTTATTTGAAACATTGACTTCATAATAGCAAAGTGACTCGTGCTGCGTGACTGTGGTATCTCTTCGGCCCTGAACGCCAGAACAACAGAAAAAAGTGATGTGGCAATTGCGTGTTGTGTACATCAGCACTTTTTCTTACCCCCCTGTCGGCCTAGACACAGAATGGACCACTATCGATAGTCGGGTTTAATCGGTCCTGGTACCTGACAAGGAAGCATGAGGATAATATTTCCGAGAAAGTGGGCTTCAGCCTCTGAGAGTGAGCCAGCGGAGCTCGGTCAACCACCAACCCGGAAGGAATAGCGATTAAATTGGTGGTCTTACCCGGGGACCAGATTTTATGGAGCCCGACCGCAAGTCGAAAGTAAAGGGTGGAGGACATGAGAGCCGGACAGTAGGACAGTAAGACTGTCAATCAATAGTTCGTCGCCCCGGTGTCGCTCCGGCAGGCACTAACCAATTTAGTCCCTGCATTAGAGGGGCCTTCTCCAAAAGTACGCGGGCCCTAAGTCGAGCTCGGTCTCAGGTGTCAGGTCAATCAATGTCGCTACTCGCTAGTGGCTGTCCGCGACATTCAGGAGATTTGAGCATCCTGGTGGATCACCGCGAGGCTACAGTCACTGCATGCGAACGGAAAAAGTCGAGCCGATCCTCCACAATATCGAGACATTGGCCTAGGACTGCCGCATCGACCATTAATTAAACCTCTTGTCTCCGATTGATGTTGCGATTGGCAAACACTCACCAGAGAGAATCTCTTCCTCCCAGATCCCAAGCTGATAATCGACTAGTCCATGCTGTTCCATTCGATCGCATAGCTGGATCAGCTCTTTACCCAGGTTGTCCATGGCTTCATTGCTGAGCAGGCTTGTCTGTGGTGGCTGACGTCCTGTCTGTAACAGTTCCTCCGCCATGTCCTTTTGTTTTTGACAGAGTGCAAGCCAGCAGATGTTGAAGTCGTTCCAGAGTTGTAGTCGATCGGCGTAGAATGTCTGCTCATCTCGGAGGACCCCTATACATTTATGACCATTAGTTTCGCAATCCGTAAGCGCACTTGCTCAGCCGCCCCGCCCTACCCTACCCTCTCGCTAGGCTGATGCCAGCAGCAGACGACCATGTACCTTTGGCCTTCGAGGTGATTATAATTACTTACGCAGTACATGCATGGCGTGAACAGGGCCAGGAGAGAGTAAGGTGGAGTCTGAACTGGCGAGACCCGCTGGGTTGGATGCTAGAGGAAAACATACCGAGCTCCCGCGCATTAGTCACAAGCCATTCGGAGATTTCCAAGAGTGATCGACTGGCCTCCACCAATCGGCCAGCGCGCGTATTGTCAAATGTTCCTTGCACAGCGCGTTGAAATTGTGCATACACTTCCCTCACGTTGGCTGACTGGAAGTCCGTCCGTGGGATCTGCTGGAGCTGTTGCTGTGGTTGTTGCGATGGTGGTGGTTGCGGTTGTTGCGGTTGTTGTTGTTGTTGTTGTTGCGGCGGCGGCGGATGGGGGGACGGTTGCTGCTGCTGCTGCTGCTGCTCTTGCTCCATCCGTTCGCCAGGACCGATGGAGGTCAAACCGGTCATATTGGCTTGATAAAAGTGCGTTACGCTCGAACGTCCCATGCCCCCTGGCGGCGGCGGATTATAAGCGGAAAGCGGGACTGTCGACGGCAAGTAGGGCGGCCCTACTGCTGGAACCCCAGTGCCTGTCGGTTCATTTGGAGGGAAATATTGTGGAACACCAAACTGGCTGGACAGGGCTTCCATCGCTGCAGATTGCCGTGCTGAGTATGGTGGTGGCACCACCTCGTACGTGGCTTGGGTTGGGCCCTGTTGTCCACTGGGGTCGTATACCATCTCGGAGTCGTAGGGAGCTAAGGGCTGGTGCACTGACGGGTGCTGCTGGCGCTGTTGCTGGTGGCGGAACGTCGGGGGGTATGGTTGCAACTCGTTCCCCTGCAACGGACCGCCCTGAAAGGGGCTCTCTGTGTATCCATAGTCCAGGTAGGTGGACATCCGAGGACGCCCCGTGGCGTGCGAGGATGCATCACCTCCACGTGCTGCCGATGGGGCCCCGGCCTGTCTGAACCGGTCCGCTGCACCACGACGGGACATCCCGGCTCTGGTTGCAAAGCGGGCATTTACATCATGCTGCTTCATGCGCAGGATATCGC